ACCCCTCCCTATCGAAGCGGTCTCCTTGTGGGGTAGGTGTAGACGAGCAAGCAAGCTTCGCCTCCTTTCGAGAGGAAGCTTGCTAAAAAACGCCCAGCTTTGTCTTGTCTTGTTGGTCTTGCTTCGGTTCATGGATTTAAGGTTTCAGGGTTGAGTTTTAGGTGTAGGGTCTGCATCGCTGCTCTGGCACGCAGTTACTTACAACTCAAGCCAGAAATCTTCAACCGCCGAGGGGCAGTGCTACCTGGCGACCGAGGAGTACCAGCAGGCCGCGGCCCTATCATACCCGAAACCCGAAAGCCTGAAACTCGAAACCTTGAACTCGAAAGCCCTAAGCCTGGAGAGCCCCAAAACCCCCAACCCCACCAACAAAAACCCCAAAGAAGACTCAGGCGGAAGTCTACTACTCGGAGGCCGGCTTCGGGTTTCAGCAGACCTCGGGTTTGGGATCCCGAGCCTCAACATTCATCCTGCCTTCACAAGATGCCAGCAAGACCGCTTTTGCCAAGAAGTCTTTCATGAAAGTTCTAGGCAAAACTGGTTGACAGGGTGCTTCCTTTGCGTGCTCCAGCCCTGCATGTCGAACCCCAGGGGGGCGTAAGCCCCCAAAGCTTGAATTTTCCGTCCCCAACGTCCCAAACTCCGAAGCCCAAAACCCGAAGATCCTGCAGCCTAAACCCCCGAAAGCCCGGACTCAAGCCTCCAGCCCCGAAGCCTCAGTACCCTAGATCCGGTAGGCTTATGACCTCTTCGCCAGCACTGTGGGGAAGCGATCCCCATTGTTTGGAATGCAGGCACCGGCTCGAGTACCAACTCAGGTTGAGGCTTCGGCGTTCAGGCTTTAGGCTCGGGCTTAAGGGTTTTCAGTTTCAGGAATATGCTGTGCCTTAACTCACAAACGATGCCCCTTGTCGTGGCCAGAGCTGTGGCCGTCCTCTCTTCCTCCTCTTTTGTTGCTGCTGTTGTTTCTGTTAATGCTGCCGCCGCTGCTGCTGCTGCTGCTGCTGCTGCTGCTGCTGCTGATGCTGAAGAACTGCTTCTTTGCTGATTCTGCGAGAGTCTAGCTCAACAGGTTACCAGAGGTGCGTTGCTGTTATTGGTTAACGCTTGATTTTAGCTGCTGGCAGTGGTAGTATTGGTTGGTGGTATCAGCGGTAGTAGCATGGCCCAGTGGTAAGTTCAGCAGCAGGACGGTGCAAGCGATCCAATATCTTGCCTTGCCGTGTCACAAGTCCTCAGCCCAGACACTTTGATGCTTCGTTATCGTCTGTCATCTTCTACCCCGTGTCCTCGGTTCTGTTGCCTCATCTGGCATTACACTACAGTCAGGCCCCAATGAAAGCTTCAAATCCCCAATCGCAAAACCTAAGCACAATCCCTAAACTCCCTAACCTCTCAACCCTCACGCTGAAACCAAATACCCCCTTAAACCACCTTAAACCCCCAGACTCTCGACCCCAAACCTGAAAAACACTACACCCTAAACTTCACTAACCCCCCAAATCCTAAATCCTAGACCCCCAAGCCCTCGAACCAAAAACCCAAAATCCGAGACCCTAAACCCCAAACCCCAAACCCTCAACCCGAAACACTGAATCTCATATCCTAAACCCTAAACCCCAAACCGGCGACCCTCCTAGGACCCGAAACCCTCCTAAACGCTAAACCTCAAATCCTCAACTCCTAAACCCGAAACTCTGCATGGACATCCCGAAGCCCTAAATCCTTGATACGTCTTAATCTCCAGACCTACAGCGCTCCCAAAACTCCCCTTGTTAGAAGGGAATGGGGGAATGGATCCCATGATCGTCCCTTGAGGTCCCTCAGAGCCATAGCCAAAAAGGGACTGTAAGGGGCTATCTTTCTTGTTTGTCTTCCCGATCACCCGTTCCCCCATTCCCTACCAAGAACCAGGCCGGAAACCCTAGACCCCAATCCCTAAACCCTAAATCCCGACTCCCTGAACCCCAAAAAGAAACCCTCAGAGGAACCCCAAAAGCCCTAAACCCCTAAGAGCAACCCTTCAAAAGCCCTAATTTCCAAGAGGCCTGGGCCTGTGGCAACCTCCGATTCGCCGAAGGCCGCCACGCGGCAGCGCTGCCGCTGCTGGGAGAGGCCTCCTTGGGCCTTTTAGGGTTTGTGAGGGTTTAGGGTTTGTTAGGGTTTAGGGTTCAGGGTTTAGGGTCTTTGGGGTTTCAGGATTTCTCGGGTTCCTTTGGGGGTTTTGGTAAGGGCAGTGGTGTTTCTGCAGGGCTTAGGATTTGGGGTGTCGGGCTTAGACTTAGAGGTTTAGGGGGTGCGCTGCTATTGGGGTTGCTGCAGGGTTTGGAGGAGGCTCCTCTAGGGTTGTATGTGTTTCAAAGGCCTCTTTGGAACCACTTTTTGGGGCCGTCAGGGCAACGGTTTTACAACTTTTCCGAATACCCAACCAATCAACAACTATCAAACACATATCCCAAAGTCTCGGCTCGACCCTCGGTATCGCTGAGGCCCTCTACGTGGAGGTGGTGGTCGACGGCTTGGTTAGCTCTGTGTTTGAAGGGTCCATAAGAGAGCATTTCAAGGGTTGTATCAGGCTTGCTTGTACTGTCCTGTTAACGGAAGTGAAGAGGTTTTCTGAGGTTTGGCAGGGTTCTGATAGGAGTTCTATGAGGCTTTATACGGGCTTCGAAGGTCACAGAATGGAACTTGAAGACCTTGAGATAGATGACATGAGTACCCTAAACCCTAAACCCTAAACCCTAAACCCTAAACCCTAAACCCTAAACCCTTAAAGAGCACCAAGGCGGACGGACTCTCCGTGTCGGAGATGATGAAGTTGTTGGACCAGGTGGGGTCTCGGATGGGGACTTTGGGGGTGATATAGAGAGCTTGGGCAGACTCAGAATTCGCGGCTTTGGGGTTTTGGGGTTTTAGTTTTTTTTTTTAAACTTGGGGTTTTGGATTCAGGATTTCGGGTTTTGGGATATCAGGATTTGGCATGTTGGCGTCCTGGACTCGGGGGCCTGAAGATGATGAGATGGACATGGGGCTCTCTGTGTCGGGTTTAGGGCTTCATCGTGATTGTAGTGTCATAAACCCCAAAACCCTAAACCCTAAACCCTATAAACCCTAAGCCCAATTCTGAGTATCAAGGCCCCTATTTGAGGAGGTGCTCTGGCCATGGTTTCCTTTCAGGATCAGCCTCTTCGGAGCTTCTCCGCTCGCGGGGCGCTTAACCCTATAAACCCTCCCTAAACTTTAGACCCTGAGAAATGGGAACAGGGTAGAGACAGTAGGGTTTCATAAGGCTTTTTTGTAGTTGTAGGGTTTGTTTACAAGCTTTTGGAAGAGCCCCTGTTGGACCAAACCCTAACGCCTCTCTTTCCCCGGATCGTGGCAGATTCTGCACTCGATGAACGAGCTCCGAAGCGAAGACTCATCCCTCCAGGCATGGCTGCATCTTGAGGAGCCATGGGGCTCGGTAAGATGCGTGGCGAGGGGTGTTATCCAAATTCTGAACCCTGCCTCGGGCCTTTAAGCATGCCAGGGCTTGACGGCTGATTGACAGATGCACCTTCAAATGCTCAATGCCGAATGCTTCGGAGAACACGACTACTCCGAATAGAACAAATACCAAACGTAGAAGTAGAATCAGACATAGAAGCCGACAGCGAAGTAGTGGTGGTGGTGGGGGTGGTAGTAGGTGTTGTTGGAAGTAGCGGTAGGCGTCATCTTAGTATTGAGCAGCATTGATACTTCTTTTACTATGCTGGTACTATTTTTATTGGTCAGCTGCGTTCTTTACAAGTACAACACGCCTAGAATCGACATGCACAAGATCGGCAAAGAACTTGCCCTCATAATCATCATATTCATCATAATCGTCACAATCTCCATAACCATCATCATCATCATCGTCCTCCTCCTCCTCATCATCATCATCATCACCACCACCGTCATCATCATCGTCATCATCATCATCGTCATCGTCATCGTCATCGTCATCGTCATCGTCATCGTCATCGTCATCACCATCGTCATCATCATCCTCATCCTCCTCCTCCTCCTCCTCCTCCTCCTCCTCCGCCTTATCCTCCGCCTCCTCCTCCTCCTTATCCTCCTCATCATCCTCCTCGTACTTGTTCTTCTTCCTCCCCACCATTATCATCAGCATCACCATCGTATGCCCTGGAGCCTGATCCCGCCCCTAGCGTCAAACCCTCACAGCCGTCTAAAACTGTTATGAACCCTCATCAAACTCGTTAGAAGCACTGATCATCCCCCATAGACACCTCGTCTACACCCATATAAGGCTCTTATACTGTACCCTTCCAAAACACCACCCAAGCGCCCATTGCCCTGGAGGTCCACCTCGGGCCAGTGCGGAGGGCCCTTAACGAGCTCATCGAGGAGAGCTTTCAGACAGTGGGGCTTGGGTTCTCAAGGTTTGGTTTAGGGTTTCGAAGTTTATTGTTTAGGAGTTTAGGAGTTTGGGGTGTAGCAGTTGCTAGCTAATAGGTAGTAAAGGTAGTAGTTTATATATCATTTTATACCAAGTTCTGCTTGACATGATTAATATTGTATCCATTACCCTCGTTCCTCATTGATGATTATCAGTTAATTGCTTTTTCTGTTGTCTTTGTTGCGATTGTGATTTCCCTGCTATTGCTAGAATTTTTCATTACGGTTACCATCATTGCAGAAGTTTCTACTATGCTATTCTGCTTTATTTGACAGTATCATGTTTACCATCATCATTGTTCTTATTGCTCGTCTGCTTCTAGCCGTTACTACCATCATCATGGTCATTTCTGGTTATTGGGAGTAGTAGCTCCCGCGGCTCGACCCGAGACACATCCTGACCGAGAAGCTTTTTGCGGTTTCGGGTTCGAGGTTGCGGGTATCGCCGGATCGCGGGGATTAAGGCTTCAGGTTTCGGGCTCCAGGGTCTAAAGTCCAAGATTATGTGTTTTAGGATTTCAGGGTTTCGGATCCAAGTTAGGGGGTTTCAGGTGTCGCGTTGAGGGCCCAAAGCGGAAGTGCCCTCCGGCCACGCATCGACACCCTTAGCCACGAACCTTCTTAACCCCCCCACGATAGCACCCCGCATCAATAGCTGATAAACTCTTGTAAGACCCTATTCAGAATCCTCAGCCTTAAACCCTCAACCCTATTCAGAACCTTCAACCCTAAACCCTAAACCCTCGGCCTAAACTTGCTAAGCTCACTCCGGAGCGACGTAGGATCCCCGCTGGGATGAGTTGGACAAGACGCTGGACTTGGCGGTGAGGGGCCCCAAGTCCGTTAGGTTCGTTTAAAGGGATCTAGAAAAGGTTCTATAAAGGGATCTGTAAGGTTTAGGGCTAGGGGCTTCGGGGTTTAGGGTTTGGGAAGTTCAGGGTCTGTTGGTTTTTGGTTGTGGGTTTAGGGTTGTGGGTGTTGGGCTCCGCGTTTATACACCTGACGGTGGTGTTTTTGGATTGGAGCAGTGCTTTTTTCTCCTTCTCGCGATCTTTTCTTACCCCGCGGGCCCAAGCATTGAGCGTCAACTCCTCTAAACCACTCTTCATCATACCCTGAAGCCTTACCCCTTAGAAATTCTGAACCCTGAGCCCTACAGCCCAAAACCCCTAAACTAGACCCCTTTAACCCCTGAAGATGCCTAAAGCCCTACACCTGCACAGCCCTGCAGCGGCCCCTAAAGCCTACGGCCATGGCCCAAGCCGGCAGTGCCTTGCCAGGCCCCAGGGCTGTCTTGCTCTGGGAGGGTTGAGGCTTGGGTGTTAAGGGTTTAGGGTTTAGGGTTTAGGGCTTAGGGTTTAGGGTTTAGGGTTTAGGGTTTAGGGCTTTAGGGTTTAGGGTTTAGGGTTTAGGGCTCCCCAGGGCCAGGGATTGGGGGTTGAGGGTTGAGGGATTTTGGGTTTATGCTTGAGGGTCTAGGTCTTACAAAGTTTTACGAAAGGGTCTCTGAGTCTAGGGTGAAGGAAGGGTTTAGGGCATTAGGGTGCAGGGCTCCGGGCTTCAGGTCGTATGGGTTTCCCATCCCGGAGGGCGGGATTTAGGGCTTCAGGGCTGTAGGGCTTTAGATCCTTCCGGTTCAGGGTTCTAGAGCCTTAGGTTTTTAAGACTCTTAGGGTTTAGGTTCTTTTAAGCATCTTTCGGGCTTACTTTAAGGGCTGTTATGAGGGCTGCTTTGGGGTTTACGCTCGGAGGTGCCGGGTTTCTGGGTTTTGGCATGACCGTAGCCAGGATCTACGAATCTACCTGTTTCTTACTGGTATTGTTGCAGAGCCATCTTCACCCTAAACCCGCTGTCGCAAGCCAAGATTCTTAAACGGGTTATTTTGAAGGGTACTTTAAATTTAAGTGTGACGCAAAGAGGATTGCAAAAAGGCTTACGGCAAGTGTTACTGTCAGGCTAAGGGTTTTGGGTTTTGGGCTCCGGGTTTGGAGAATCGGATTCAAAATCTCAGAGCTTCAACCCCCAAACCCCCAAGATTTCCGGAGCCCTGGAACCCCCAAGCAATCATCCCGAAGATAAGCCCCAAGCCCTAAAACCGAAAAATCATGCGAAGCCTCAGGCACTAAAACCCTAAAACCCTGAACCCTAGACCCTTAAACCCTAAACCCCTAAGCTCTCAGGCACTACCTCTGCACCCAAAGCCCCAGGCCCTCGGCCCTGAACCGTTGGCAGGCGATGACACCACCAGCAGGCCTGAAACTGTCGTGCTGACAGCGCCTTGGCAAGCGACGAATCGACAGAAAGCCGGATCATAGGGGCCTTAGGGGAGGTTGCAGGGCTTTTAAGGTTAGAGTTGCAGGGCTTGACGTGGGTTTTGAAAGTTTTTCGGGGGGAGAGGGTTCAGGGTCTCGATCAAGTGCGCTGGGCTTGGGGCAAGTGCGCTGAAGATGCTTCAGCAAGAATTTGTAGAGCAGCGTGATGGTAGGGTGCATGATGGCGCAGGAGTTCGCGGCCACTTTGGTAGACGAGCTGTCAGAAAGAGATGATGATGCTGACTGGGAGATCGAGGACCTGGTGGGTCTTTTGACGAGCGCTTTTTAGTATGAAGAGGTGCATGCTTGCTCCGGAAGGCAAGGCTCTGTAGGCGATTGGTCATCATGCGGTCAGTACCTTGTAGTCACTTGTGGTCCTAAGTTTGAGATGCCCTGAAATTCGAAGACATTTTCCTGTCAGGACTGGAGCAAGCCCCATGTTCTCAGCCAGCTACGGTCAGCGCCCACTGCTGCACGGTGCCGTTGCTGCTCAGTCCTCGACCCCTACGTCGTGAACCCCAAGCCCTAGACTCCCTCATATCGTAGCCCCAAACCCTAAACCCGAAGCTATAGACGCCTACAAAACCCCCGCCCCCCTTCCAAAAGCGACATCCTCCCCGCTCTAACAAGCAACAAACAAGCCCTAAACACTCAACCCCAAACCCCAAGGTGCGCAAAGGATGGGGAGCGAGCGCGTGTCCTTCTCTGCCCGCAGGCTTCTGCAGCTGGCACTGGGGCTTCTGTGATTGACCTGCCCCTCGTGCAGGCTTAGTGCCCTTTTTTAAAAGTTGTATAAAGAGAAATATGGTATACTTATACTTAACACCGATAAGCCCCGCTCTTGTTGACATGACCTTTTTCGCCTGGGATTACGATTACGATCCTTACTTGCTACCGTTACTGCAGCTACTTGCATCAGCTTTTCATAGGCTTGTGATAACTGCCGTGGAATAAATCGCCCTTACACCCTAAACCTTATAGTCCCTCAAGGCCCGATGCTTTTTTCTTGAACCTCCCCATGTCTAAGCTTAGGTCGCCCGGCATTTGCGGTCACTTCTCCGAGGCTCGGGGCTCTTCGTGGTATGCGGCTTCGGTATCTTAGTTTAGGGTCCTGGCAGCTCTGCTCGTCTGCCATGTTGGTGGCGCGTCTGACATTACAGAAGTCGACAGCAGAGGCACCGTTCCTTCATGGATTCGTTTGAAGCTTGCGTCCCGCAGCAGCAGCAGCAGCAGCAGCAGCAGCAGCAGCAGCAGCAGCAGCAGCAGCAGCAGCAGCAGCAGCAGCAGCAGCAGCAGTAGTCCAGTTGTGGCAACTTGTATACGGCCCAGCATGGGCAGCGGAGCAAGCAGCACTCGCCACCTGCGCTATGAGAACTTGAACGTTGTTAGCCACCCCTCTCCCACACCTTTCGACAGCTCGGAGTAGCAGCAACTGCAACTATAGCAGCAGCAGCCGCAGCGGCAGCAGCCTTTACACGGAAGCTCGAAGCAGGATTCTTTTCACATCTAACCTTTTCATCTTGCGTAGAGAGCTGGTGTGCTTGCACTGAAGATCTGCGTCCTACCTGCTTGAAAATCTGTGCAAAGTAGGGGCTAGTTCGCCATGAGCAAAACACCAACCTTTTCGACCAATGCAGCCAAGAAGGGCAACCCAACAAGGCCAAGACAAAGTGGGCTGCCACCATGTCGAAGGGGCAAAAGGCCAAAACGTAGTTTCCTTTTCTGGAACATCAGCAGCGAAGTGTGAACAAAATCCTTCACTTCGCGCTGGAAACACACGGTATCACACGGTGCAAGAGTGCCAGTGGTGGTAGTTCAAAGGGGTGGAAGCCACTGCCTTGGAGAACAAGCGAAACCCAATGCCCCAAACCCTTGTAACATCCTATAAAACATTATGTGGAACCCTCCTACAACCCTTGCAGATGAAGGCCTTCTCAAGTCCTTACGAAAGCCTGAGCTGAGTTTTGGTTTCCTGACCCCAAGCAGCAGGATGGACAGCTCGAGCTTCTGGAGTTCGACTTAACGAACAGCAGGGCAGAGAAGCGCTTCAGCTCGTTGACTGCTCGGCCGGGCGCTGAGCACGCCGAATTGGGTTTCGCGTTTAGGGGCTTCAGGGTTTCAGGGTTTAGGGCTGCATGGTTTAGGGTTTGCGGCTCTGCTTTCGGGTTCGAGGCCCTCAGTGCGCCTATTGACTTCGTGTATCGGGAGGACACACTGATTCTGCCAGGTACATCCGACACCTGAAGACCTAAGCATGACTCAGGACACCGAGCTCGACTGAGAGAGACGTGCACGATGAGACTAGCAGCCTCGGCCGGCCCAGCTGAGCGGCTGGAGAAAAAAGACGCTGCTGGAATTGCACTTTTAAAGTACTTGGAGTTTCATGGGTAGTTTTTTAGTGGGGTGATAAGTAGGGTAACTGTAATTATAACCGATATTAAGGGGATTATAACTCCACTTACAACTACCCATGAACCTCCAAGTAGTTTCCGAGCATTCAGGACCCCTCGCACAGAACCCTAAACAGCAGGACCCTGACCTTATGGACCCCTAAACAGGGTACCCATAGTTTTCTGAGGCTACTATCATTAGTAGAAATGTAAATAAATAAGTAAATATGTACATAAAGAATTATCTATATATATATATATATAATACTATGATGAGAGTAATCCGGAACATCAACATTACGTAATACAAAACACGATGCACAGACAAGGGATCTTCAACTGCAAACGCCAGGCAACTTAAGGTCGACTCTGTATGTTATTGGTATTCTGCTAAGTCAAGAAGACATCATATACAGAGGCTTCATCACCGAAAGCTTCGTCACCGAATGTTTCGTCACCGAATGTGTCGTCACCGAATGAGTGTCCACCCCCAGGACACATCATAAAGTCCTGATTGCACTTGCCCCCATCTATAGATTCCCGTGAAACGAGTCTAGATTTGTCCTCAGATGACGAAGGCACCTAATTGTTTAAATGAGGTTTTCATGTTTCACTAAACCCAGTAACAGTAAGCTCGATAGCGTCGAGTCAGTCATGTGTGCTTCCGGCTTCATGCCGCCACAGATCCGACGCTGCTTATCTGACATTAAGGATTCTGTGCTCAGACCTCCGTGTCTGCACACTGAAAAAAAGAAATACATATATATATATATATGTATATATATACAGAGTATATAGAATATATCATATATATATATACACACACACACACACTTTTTTGTTCGTGACATTATGGCAATGGTCATTGTTAGCTGTTATCACACTGTTCCCATTCCTCATACTGATACTTCTAGCACCATCGTCATTGGCATTTCATTCAGTGGAAAAGGTGAGTCTCACAACCTTTAGCATTATCTTTGCTACTACGCAGTACTCAGTACTCATTATCATGGTTCTTGTTCACCACGAGCGGAACTAGGAATGTGTTATCCGAAACCCAAGGGGTCCATTGGGAAAGCCGCAAGGCTTGAACGGCCGAAACGAAAACACCTGCAACCACAAAGCCTGAACTCTGAAACCCCTCAGACGCAAGCTTTGGACCGCCAAGCACCCAAGTGCCAAAGCCCTTCTACCAAAGCAAGAGACGCTAACGCTAAACCGCCTAAACCCAAAGCCTAATATAGAGGCCTCAGTACTATTTTGGGGGTTCCTTGTTGTAAGTATAGTACAAGGGGCCCCAAAACCCTATTCTAATTACTAAGGCCCCTACATTACCAGGTCCTAAACCACAAGATGGCATTGGTTTACGTGGTGGCCAGGTGGCCTGAGATGGGTGTGGCACCCCAGCTTGCGGCTCCAGCGTCTAAGGTTCCAGGGTTTAGGGTTTTCGGTTTAGGGTTTAGGGCTTGGGGCTCAGGGTTTACGGTTTAGGGCTTGGAGTGTAGGGTTAGTGCCGGATAATTCTTGCTGTTACAAGCGCTAGTGTGAAGATTGCCAGAAGGATTCTCGTGTTACCAAGAGCTTGGCCATTCCTGCTGGTCTTAGGGTTTAAGATTTAGGGTTTAGGGTTTAGTACATTTTCTTGAGTGTATCGAAGTTTTGATTTTGTTTGGAAACCGCCTCAAAATTTCATGAATCTGCCTTTTTGTGCATTTTGAAGGTGTTTGAAACGGTGAGCTTGATCCTAAAATCTAGCTTCATAAATCCTTAGGGCTGAGACCCTCAAGCCATCAAGCCTCAACGCTAAATCCTAAATTCCTACACCACAAATCCGGAACCCTAAATGCCTAAACCTTAAACCTTGAACCCTAAACCCTAACTGCCTGAACCCTCCGCTCGAAACTCCCCAGATCCAACTCGCTTCCTTGCGGCTTTTGCAAGGCGATCGAAAAGCTGCGGAGTATTTTAACCTCAAGGCTGCCAACGACTCAGCTCTAGAGGTCAAGCATCTTAAGCCTAAGCCCGAAAGCGGTGCGTTTGTAGCGGCTAATCCTATTTCCTGATGGCCACGGCCATTTCTGCATTTCTGCATGGACATGCGTTGTTCTTGAGTGACTGCCGGGGCTTCTGGAAGCGCTTGGTGCCTGAACAGTTATGTAGCGGCCTTACTGGTTAGAAGCGGCTTCCGATATGTCGTACCTTACGTGTTGTAAACTAGATTTTCAGACACCCCCCGAGGTGTCGGTGCTGAACGATCTTCAGCATACTGGCTCGAAGGAGGTGCGTGTGGTGTCTCCTGACCTTGTTTCGTTTAGTTGTGCCTGAATCCTCCTGCAAAAGTTGCTGGCACCGAGCCGGCAAACTTTGAACAGCCCGATAAATCCGAACAACGCCGATAAGCCTTTATGAAGCAGAAGAAAAGCAATTAAAATCCTTAGCGCTATGTTCTGATAATCCTGATGTGTGCATCTGTAATAAGATATGTACATACATTGATAAACACATACACATACAGACACTCATACATATATGCATACACATACACATTACATATATACATATATACATATGTACATACATGAGAACATATATATATATATATATACACATACATATACATATACATAGCTACATACATACATGTATACATATATACATATCTACATATACACATAAATGCATACATACATATACACATATTTGCATACATGCATGCATGCATGCATACATACATATACACATATGTACATAAATACATATGGACATGTATACATAAACATACATATACATATGTACATATAGACATCGATGCAGATAGTCATACCTACATACCTACATCCATCCATCCGTCCATGCATGCATGCATGCATACATATATACATGCATGCATGCA